CCCCCTCTTCTTGCAGCTTGCGTGACTTAAGCCTACAGTCGTCCGCTGGGAATGCCTATACAATCAGTTCAAAGGCTTCACAATTACCCTATACGGAGAAGAAATCCACTCGCATCACAACCAATCCCGTGTATCGTCGTCACAGCTCTGCAAGCATAACCCAGTCCAGCAGCGGTGATGGTAAGCTTCCGCCCTTAACTTTGTTCTGCAGGGGGAGGGGGGTAAAAACCATGCTTGCCAGGCGAAGTTAATTCCCGGCTTGTTTTCTTTCTGAAAAAAAATGACCAAACTTGGAGTTTGTCTTTAGGAAAGAATCCTCTCGGCTGGGTGCGAAAATTGACTTGATTATTTCCTCGCCTAGTACGAGAGCTACCACCCACTAACTGATAAAATTCAAGTAATTTTCACCGATTAATTATTGAACTTTTATAATAAGTATTTGATGCTCCATAGGACAGACCCAGCTTCCGGATATTTTCTTGACCTAATGCGTTATTCTTCTGCGTATAAACTCCTTTCTAATTAACCATACTTGGTCATCTGGTAGAATCTAGATTTATTTTCCAGGAAATGCCGCTTGTACAGAATTGTATCAGAACTAGGGGATTCCGTACGTCGCATTTAACCTCATGGATCCTGTTGGGGCCTCGTACCTCATGTGTCTAGAGTAGCTGTATTAAAACCTTCCTCTTGCTGCCGTGGGTTCGAAACCCACCGAGGCCGCTCAGTGTTTCACAAGTGGATCAAGTAAATGAATTTATTTGACCGTTCTGGAAATGATTTGGATAACCGTAGATCAATAACCTGCATTTGGGGCATTGATCGCAACAGGGGTACGGTGAGGCGAGACAGGAAGTGCAGAGACCGAATAAACAACCATTGAAGACACAGGGCAGTTGGGTGGGTGGCAGCCTGTCTACATATTAAAAAGACAACATAGCCGGAAGTTCGAACAGCACTTGCCATCTTTCACCACTTGATCGCATCAAGTTACATGGACTTTATGGTGCTCACACTTACTTTTTTCCTATTTTAGACGAAATTTTGAAACCAGATGAAGATGCTGTACCTGGCAACAACAGAAAGAGGTGAGTGTGAGTTTCAAATTCAGGTATTCCATTCATTCGTCGAATTTTACCAGAAACCGACAGCAGCAAGCTTTCTATAATAAATTATGTGATCAAACAATGTTCATTTAAAAGATGCTTTTTAAGATGGAACACAAAAACCTGGCCAACACCAGATCTAACTGGTCAGATGTTTTCCCACTTATCCTTTTATCGTCCCTCATCTGCTGAAAATCAACTCCAGTCATGTCGGATTTGTCAGGTAAGGGTGTGTTGCAACAAACTTCCAGTTAACAGTTTCCTGCTGGCTCGTAATAGATACCATCACTTCTGTCCATTAAACTTCTGCCAGTCAAGCAAAATCGAAAATCATAGGCTCCGCCAACGTCCAACCCTCGTCAATATGCACCCAACTACAACGCGAGGTTAGGGTGTGGATTGACAGTGGTTTACATTCATTGATGAACATTACCCGGCGGCTAACGAAACTCATCTGTACCGCTCTGCCTCGGGTCTCAACAGAGGTCCTGACCACCGTACCAGCTGATAGCGTTGGCAGAAATGGTTGTTCCTGTCTCCCTCATCTTTCCGGTAGTACTTTCCGTCTACACTTCCGGTGGTTTACATATTTGGATTCAGCACAATGTTTGGACCGTCGAACCACAACCAAACAACACATTCAACAGCTCAAACCCGATGACACCCTTCCGAAATGCATCTATGGAAAGACCGTGTCCAGCGCCGGTTTGGGTAAAGATGACTTGCATGGCCGCCTAAACAGGACACGGGAACAGGAACTGCCCATAGCGCATGTAACTTACTCCGGGAAAACTAGGTTTATGATAAAGATGAGGAAAGTTAAAGGTCCGACTTGGGTTTAGGGTCAGGATTATGTTAGGGGTTAAGCTTTGTGTTCATGATAACTGTAGAGTCTAGGCTAACGGTAAGATTACGATTTCAGTTTAGTTTCATGTTAGGATTAAGGCATGGGAATATTTACCCTGCCCGAAATGTATCGCAAGGCCATTTAGTTTAAGCTGGCTTTTGGGTGTTTCCTTTCCCATGTCCCGTTTAGGCAGCCATGCAAGTCTCATCCCTACTCCGGTTTGCCATATGTGAACATCTTCTTACCCACCACAACGTAAACGCCGCCAGGGCTCAAAAGGCAGCAATCAACACCACATGTCGCCGACACCCGCCCAGAAAGGTAGGCAAGCGGCGGACTCGTCCCTATTGCATCCACGCATCCCAATCACGCATCGGTATGGTCGGTCACCTGCGAATCGATCGCAGAGCAATTTGAATACCAGTTTTTAGAGTTCGCCGAGGCTCATTGTTCGCCCCTGCTCTGCTTAATTTACACGTATACAGATTCCGCCGCGCCACACTGACCCAGTCGGTCATACGTGCATGCACGACAGCAATTTTTTAACTATCACGCGTCACTCCAGCCCAGAACATTTCCACACACGCAATCAGTGCTTCCGGTGGTCACATACGTATGCAATAAGACCACCCATTCACACGCGCCTACAGCGATGTTTACCACCGTCCGCAGGGATGCGTGCGCACGTAACACGCGATACCTAGCGACTAGATTACAGTTCTACCGTCGAATTCGACGATTTTCACCACACACTTCAGCAGGTTGAAAGCAAACCCGGTGACTTGCGTTGCACCTACCGCACTCTCTCCCTCGCTGCCCTCACGACCGGTGTCAGGACGGAGTCGGTGAGGGTGATGGCGGGTACGGTAGAGTCCGCACATAAGCGTACTACCACCATCTGTGGTCCACAAAAAAGCACCTCATGAGCGTTTTCACATGGCAGCAGATGGGACGAAAGTGGCTGTACACACCCCAGCTCACACAGCCTGGGCCTCCATAGTACTAAAACGCACATACACACCAGTATGCACTACACAGCTATCTCTTTTTTTGCAAATTTGTTCCTATAGAAATACGCAACTGGTGGTGAGTGACAAGCGTAGGCGGACCGTTTAGCGTTGTTAACCGGTGCCTCCTCGTCCATGTCCGGTTGACTGATTTGTCAATAGACCAGTGTGCAAAGAGACGGGGTAGGCTGGATGCTTCGGGCATCTGCTTAACACTGAACAGGCTACTGCCGCACTCTCGATATAACGGTGGATCTCTTCAATTGCCACAGTCAATCGTATAAGCCCCTGATGAGGTCCCCTGAAAACAGCCACATCTACAGGTAATCGCCAGGCATACTCAAATCGTGACTGCTCTGTAGGGATAAGGCGTGCGCAGTAGAATCCAGAATCCGTTTCCAAAGTCTGTTCTGCATGAATCCTTTTCTGGACTTTTTTAAACATCCTTTTGTGATTTTTTACAGTCGCGGAAATTCCCATGAAAGAATTCAGAAAAGTAGTTAGCTAGCGTACGCAGGCTTCCGGTAAATTCTCGAAGGGCCATTACATTTATATGGGAACGGGGTGCAAGTTAAAACGTGTTCTCTTATCAACCCCTCATTCCTATTCCCGCGACTCACTTGTACGAAAAGACGAACAGGTTTCAACTTGTACCTCGTTCCCATAAAAATGTACTGGCTCGATGAGAATTTATCGGAAGCCTACGTACACTCGCCAACTATCCTCTTGTGATTCGATACCTACTGACGACATTCATGGCATCGGATGGTCTTGACGACCTTACCCCAAATTTAGATAGACAAAGGTTTTCCATTTGCATGACTGCAAATAACGCATCCTATAGGCCCA